CAGCAAGTTTAAATATAATTAGGCCCAACTCCGAGGAGGTGGAGTGCTGCTGTTGCACAAAAAAGATGTCTAGCGGCTCCAGTGAAGTTGATGTGGTTTGTATTTCACATTGAAAATCTGTCTTTGTTCTTTTCACTGTGCTCTCTTTCTTTTCTGAATTGAATTTAATTTCATTTAGTGAAATGCAGAAATAACAACTTCATGAGTTTTGACAGTGGTCTATAAAGCTGCGGCAAACATTCATGTACAAGTTTTTTGTGAACAGATACTAGCATTTCCTTTGGGTAAATACTCAGGAGCTGAATTGCTAGCTCATAGGGTTAACGTAACTTCATGAAAATCTTGCCAGACAGTCTTTCAAAATCGTTGTGCTGTTGTACAATTTTGTCACATTCTGCTATGTTTCTTGATTCCTGAAGGTGAGTAAAAATAGATTATTAAACTATATATAATTTGGCTTAACAGAAAAAGCATTCTTTACTTAAATAAGGATATGGGTATTAATGCCACCTAAGCGCTATGGGCAATTCTCTTAACTTCTATCAGCCCCAGTATCTTTTCATCTTTGGACATAATGTTAACCGCCTACTGAAAATTGCTTTCCGAAATAAATATGTGAAAGCAGTTTGAAAAGCATAAGGCACTAAACACGGTATATTTTTATCAGAACTAATCTATAGCACATTCCATATTGTTTTAGTTACGCTTTTTGAAACAAAGACTACATAGCTTCTGTCTGTCTCTATTTTAACATTATTCCTATAGTTTATAATTCATTCTTAGAATACTGTTATTAAATGAAATCTAACGGCTATTTATTGTATATTTATTTATACCCTGTCCTATTCCAAAAAAAAATGTTTTAAGGTGATTAATTTAGCAAGAAAAATAGGTGCTTAAGTGTTTCCTGTCTTGTCCACAGAGTGGCACTGTTGGATTATTTAAAAATAAAAGCCATGTAACCTGGTTCTTTGTTCATGGTTAGAGATACTTGCTTTTACAGCAATTCTGGTGCCAGGTTACTAGACTAGTCTTTCTACCCTGAGTTACACGAGAGGTGAGGCTCAATAGAAAATGATATCCTAAGTGTAGTTGAGATAATGAGAGAACAGTTTTGCAAGAACATCTTTCCATGTAGTCCCTAGTAGTTACAGTGGACAGAGGTCCTTTGATAATCACCAATAGGCTTTTAGAGCTTCTTAAAAGTGAAATTGAAGTCCTCAGTTTTTCTTTCAGCTCTGTCTTTCATCTTTCCTTTTAATTTGTTAATACATCTTCCTTAGATAAGAACACGAATACCTGCTTATGATGATGATAACACTGTTCTTTATGCATATGAACCAAACACTGCATATGTCAATAATGTAAGTAATGTTAATTGCCATTTGCCAAATATATTAACACTTAACCATTTTAAAGAAAAAGGTTTAAATTCTTCATATATTATAGAGTTCCTCTAAACTCAAACTCAAAAAATATTGGCCTCTCCTGAATTTGTTTGCTTCCTTTCATTAGACAATGAGCACTTAACCATTTTACTTCCCTTTTCCTTAGGTAGTAGGAAGTTCAGAGCAGTTTATACTCATTTTCAGTACAAAACTCGAAACCTAGGTCCTTCTGATATAATAAATTCTTATTTCCTCTCTTAATTAGCAGTTGTCATTTTCATTCTCGTACTAATATGAGTTTTTATTTTGTCTCTGCTTTAGATTAAGACTTCTGAATCCTTTTGAAAAGTTGGTGACAAATAAAAACAATTTAAATAAATAAATGTAAAGTTTTTTTCCTCCTAGCGTTCAGTTTGGCTCTTATAAAAGTAAAGCATTAACTACTTAACTTTTAAAATATTAGCAGGAAAGCGTGATGTCTGACACATCCTACAACGAAGAACAACAAAAAACAGTTATGGATGTCCTCACTCATTGTCAGGTATAAAAGTTCTGTCTCTCAAATGTAGTTTTCTGAAATACTAAGTTAAAATTCCCTTTATCTCATGTAAAGTATACAATTAATTGAAATTTTGCTGTATCAAATTACTTATGATTCTGCCTTCATTGTAATGATTTTTAATAATTTATAGTTAGAGTAGCATCTCCAGGTGCAAATTTTGAAATACCAATATGTATGTTTTATAGCTTTGTTTTAAAAGCCCTTAACTGAAGAAATGTATGTTATGTTGCTTGATATTGAATTAATTTCCCCTACAAAATCTTTAAAGGAAATTGTCTGATACAGAAAAAAATTAGTGTGTGCCTTAAATGCATTGTTGAGATGGCTCAGTCGAAAAAATGGCAGCATATCTTAACATAGTTTGTAATTTTGAGGGGATTTTGTAAAAGTTAGCGTGCTGGTAGAGATTGATGGGTGTAATTATCAAGGATTTTGTGAGCTGCATCCTCTAGAGGTAATGGAAGTTTGTTTTTTAAAAAGTAGTTAACACACAAAGTTTGTTGGATTAAAATGAGCTACCGTGCCTAAGTCAAGAATGTTTAGGTGAGTCTTTATCACTGTTATTGAGAACAGAAGTGGACTGCTTCAAGGGAACATATCAGGTCTTTGGGGAAGGGTGTACGGGGAGGGGCGGGGGGGCGGTGGGAGGGGGATTCTGATGGCCTGCCTCACGTAAGCATCCACGACACCCCGGGCTGCCACTGCTCTGCCAGGGCCTCCTTTCTGAGCAACGGTGCAAGATGTGGGGGGCTAGAACGTGGAGGAGGAGAAAGGCCCAGGGGCCCAAGTCACAGCCCTGAAACAGACCAGAACGCTAGTCTTTGCACCCAAGTGTGTTCCCCTAGAGCCTGCCCTGTTGACCTCAGTGCTATAGGCCAGTGGGTCTCACTTGATCAGGCAGCAGAACCACCTGGAGGGCTTGTGAAAGCAGATCGCTGCCCCCAAGGAAATGGTTCTGGCCTCCTGTTAAGTGTATTTTTGGCCTGAATGAAATTTCTGTGTATTTGAAGAATTCTCAGGTTTTCTTAGTCACATACCTGGTTGGCCAATAGAGGACATGTACTCAAAGGTTTTGTAAGGTTAATTGTTGATTGCCTGATTTTGAAATACTCTGAAGCCAGAAGTCACACCTGTTAGAGTTGGCTCACTGTTCTTTCCAGCATAGAATGCTCACTGCCTGTGAATTCACACCATGGTTCTATGGAAAGAGGCTCTTTGGCCTTTTAGCAGATTTGAAGCTTTCTTACCTAAAATAGCCCCTTCCTTGACATAAAATGACTCCATCATAAATGTGGTGGCTTATAAGAATGGTGGTACGTTTACTTCCCCATATTAAAGCTTCTTAAAATGCCTGTATGGCCTGGAGTTGAGTAGGAGGTTGGGTCTCCTTATCTCAGCCAGCTGGGCTCTGTGTCACCAAAACCAGGCATCTGGTTCTGACAGCTTAAGAGCTTTTCTTTGTTTCTAGCAGTCAAAATTTGGCTTATTGGTATTTTTATGTTACTTTTGGAATAGAAACTATTAATAGCTTGTGTTATAATAGGTCATCTATGATGCTATTCAAAATCTGGATAAGAAATTTGATGTCATTCATGGAAAAGTTTCAAAAATACACCGTTTTCGTGTGAAATCATTGTGGCAGAATCGCGTGAGTGTTAACAAAAATATTTTCATAACTGTAATAGACCTCTCACTTCTAAAGATGCCAATGAGTTAGAAATGCGAAAGAACTATTAACTATGAGATTAGCAAGGCCAAATTGATTCTTGCTGTAGCAGCAGATAGGAGACTAAAACTTGTTGGGAAAATGCTTAAGTTTAGGTTTGAGAAATGTATGACAATGAATATTTTTATGTTTATAACCACAGTGTATAAAATTTGGTTAAAATGTAGGGTTGAAGAGGAACAAAAATCATATAATTAAAATAGAGCATTAATCTTTAGTGATATAAAGCAGTGTTACCTGAAAAATAAATTTATATTTACTACTTACTTTATTTCCTTTTTTACTTACTGACAGTTGGTTTGTGCTGGGTTTGTGTCATTTCAGAAGCCACTTGGATATGCTTACAAAAATTATAATTACCTGCTTTCCAGAAAGATCAGATTCCAGAAAATGAGGAAAAAGGAGCCTCCTTCTTCATTCTCTTACCCTGAAAGTTATAGCCCAACTATGCCGGTGGAGAGGCCAGCAAATGATTCTCCGATCAACCCTGTAGGAACACCCTACCATTCAGAGGAGGGGTCCCCAGAACGGGATCCGGAGTCACTCCTCCAGGAGCAGGAGCCGAATCTGAGCCAGAGTCCGACACTACCATCCATGTATTCTTCGCATTCATATCAGCCATATTTCACACCTGATGATCCAGTGCAGGGCTCCTCTTCCATGCCCTGCTATTCCAGCCCAGGGGCCCACAGCACCCACAATATCTTCTCACCTACCCGACCTTCTGTAGCAGTATCTGGATCCATGCTGGGTCAAGGTGAGCCCAGTCCGGCACATAACCCGGAGAGGATGACTTACCCAACTCTAATGGAAAATAAGAGCCTCGGCCGTAGTGCCTCATCTGTTTGTATCCCGCCCAACGTTGGTGAGTGTGAAATGACACATAGTACAAGTAGCACTCTTTAACCTATAATCACAAGTAGCACTATTTGACCTATAATCCTCAACATCCTTGACGCAAGACCATTTCTCCCTACCTAACATCTCTTCTTTCGGGATAATGATCAGGTCAAGTTTGATTTGTCTTTTTCCCCCATTGAAGCTACAAGTTCACCAATTGGAACAGAACCAGGGATCCTAAAACAAAGCTTCTCTGATGACCCTTCAACCTGGTCCGTGGATGAAGTGATCCAGTTTCTGAAACATACAGATCCTCAGACACTCACCCCCATCGCTGACCTTTTCAGGCAACATGTAATGTATATTTTGATCTGGTTTTCCTGCCGTAATGCTTTTTTCTTTCTTTTTTTTTTAAGTAAGCTCTATACCCAATGGGGGGCTTGAACTCATGACCCCAGGATCAACAGTCTCATGCTGTAGGACTGAGCCAGCCAGGCGCCCCTGCCATAATGCTTTTGAATGACCTCTGTGCAGGCCCTTCAGTTGGGTACTGATTAGTGTGGATGGTGGGGGAACCCTAGCAACTGATTTTCCATACATGAGAAAGGTTACTTGGCCCAAAGTTAGATCCTTAAATGGTAGAGGCTGGATTTAAATAGGAACAATGTGACATGATGTCCTCTTTGTTACGATGCCCAATGAATCCAGCAACTGATTCCATTTGGCTCAGTTCTGTTAACCTTATATGGTTATTGACGATTTGGGGTGCTGATACCCTCATGCCATTTACAAAGTAACATCATGGGTTAAATTTTTATAAGTTCTGATTTTTATTGTACTTAGTAGGAAAAGTACAGAAGGTACCTGACAAAGGCAATACTGTTAAGGGTTTCAGGTCTTTTCAGACAGTACAGTTTTATTTTTAAACCAGAACTTGTAAAAACCAAGTAATATGTTTCAGCAACATCAGTCTATTAGTAAAGAACTGGAGGGAGGATGCCTCGTGACTATCAAGTCATGTTTTTATAGTGTTTCCTAATGAATAAAATTAGTGGCCACATATTTGATGTACCCTTTTCCATATGGCAAGAAAATAGTTTTTAGCATCTAACTTCAGACAACTAACTGATTAGCTTTCAACATCAAGACAACACTGTATAGCACATGTACAGTCCGTGTGGATGCTAACACCCTCATATTCCAAGCTGTTCTAAGAAAAATTCTACCATTCATAGTTTTTACTCTTTGTCATAGACATGCAGTATTTTATTCAGCCCACTATTTTAAAGGTAGGTAGTTTGATGCTTAGGACATTTTTAAGATTGAAGGTTGGGGCGCCTGGGTGGCTCAGTTGGTTAAGTGTCTGCCTTCGGCTCAGGTCATGATCCCAGGGTCCTGGGATCGAGCCCTGAGTCGGGCTCCCCTTCTCGCTCTCCCTCTGCCCCTCCCCCATTTTGTGTGCGCACGCACGCTCGCTCTCTCTCTCAAATATTTCTTTAAAAAGATACTAGGTTAAATTTTCTTCGTAAAATTCGAAGTAAATTTACAAGTGATCAAACCATGCTTCACTGTACAAATTATATTTTTAATAGTTTTCATCAAGCAGGTGTGTACTCAAGAGAATATACATCTGGAATGAGCTGCTCTCTTACTGGTGTTCCATGTTCTTGTAAATGAAGAAATGACCATTCTGATAAAATATGAACACATTAACTAATTACTGTTATTTCCTTCTGTCTGCAGGACATTGACGGGAAGGCTCTGCTACTACTCAAGAGTGACATGATGATGAAGTATATGGGGCTGAAGCTGGGCACAGCTGTGAAGTTGTGCCACTACATTGATAGGCTTAAAGAAGAAAAGTTCTTTAACAATTGAAAACACGGTAGTGTAGATTTAGCTTGGACGTCATTCAGGGGAGACTCCGTGCCATTTTGGTGTAAAACCATTTTTCTGCCCTTAAAAGTTTTTGTTGTGTAGAAGGTTCTTTTAAAACCATGTTCTGTCCAGAATTGCAGAACTACATTACAGTCTGGTCTACTATTTTAGAAGCCATTTAACATGTTCGTATTGGCATATTCATTGGGAGTTTGTTCTTTATATCTTTTTATTAGTTTCACTGAATAGTTTACAACTGTACTTCACACAGGAAACAGAAACACCTTTAATATCTGTTCATCCTTATCTATAGAACCAAAACAGCTGAATCCCAAAGAGTAAATATCAGGGACTGAAAAGTTCTCTAATAAATCCATGGGTTTTCCTTATAAGAAAACTTCAAGATGCAACTGTAGATAGCATCTTTCTAAAATATTTTGTGTTTGTTACTACAAGGTTCTGTTCATGTTCTACCAGCTTCCCAAAAGGGAAAGCCATATAAATTATTTTCCTTTCTATTATTATTTCTATATATGTTATATTCCTATTTAAAGAAAAGGCAACCTTATAAGCTTTCGTAAAATATTCTTACCAGTTTTTAGATAAATTGTTAGATAGAATGGTCATTTTATGCAAGAGATACTTAGTTTAAAACTTACATATTTTGCCTAAGCTTGGACATTTCAGTAGGCATTCATTGCTCACATCTCTCTATAAAGATGCCTATGTCCAGATTTTTGAAAGATATATATTTTATTGTCTGTGTTCATAATGATGCTGTTTCATATTTATATTTTATTCTGTATCTGAAGTATACACACAAGTAAATCTTTTCTTTTTGAATTTAAGAATAGCACTTTGCACTTCACAGAGGTAAAGATTAACTATAATTAGTGAGATGTTTTTATTCTGTTAAAAATATTCGCACATTTGCTGTCACTAGTACCTCTCAGCTGACTCTTTAAGGCTTCCATACGGGGAAGCTCTCTGTCCTGTGCAATGTTTCTAGTTCATTTGCTTTCTGAGCCATTTATCCTACTAAACTTCGGAAGATACATTAGCTCTGATATGTCATTTTGGACTTTATTTTAAAAATTAGAACTTTCAAGTGAAAACTGTTCATTGTTTTGTTATTTATTACCTTGTTATATTGTATAACATTCGATAGAATACTTACAAGCTGTGAGAATTGGTGCTAAGTGTATTAGCCATTTGTTATAAATGCCAATAAAATGTTCACCAGGGGCAAAAATGCACATTTTCCTTTTCAAAAACCAAGTGTACTTTATAAACAAATGCAATTCTTTACTGGGCATACATAATTTAAAAGGTGTTTTTATTTATGTTATTCATTTATGTTATTTCTTGTAAGACAAGATTCTATTTTAAACTTGATCTTCTCTCAAATTGTTTGTGTGAAGATGCTGTGCCCAGTTGAACAGTCCTCAGGTGTTTGTATGAATACTATGTTTTACAGTTTTCAGATTTTAAAATATAATAAAGTTTTAAAACCACAATAATGTCAGAGCCTCAGATTTGATTTTATTTGCTTTCACCGCATGACATTAATGTACGAATTTATTCGAGTTGATAAAGAAACGCTGTACTAAGTTTGTGGTTTTCTGCGTCCAGAGAGTTGAGTATTAACACTTGCCCTCATTCTACAGATAAGCAGATCGCTAGCAGCAAAGGGCCGATCTCTTGTAGGGCCTAAACGAGACCCCAGGGGAGCAGTACGAAGTTCCGTCGGTGAGCTTTGTGCTCAAAACCTGTTGCTCGCAATGGTATTGGTGACGCGAGCGCGCTGGAAAAGACCAGGGCCCCCCACATATCTCGTCCCCGTCCCCGAGTTCTTACGTCTGCCTCGCAGTTCTGGCTGCCCTTTTACCCCCGGGGTATGGTCTAGGCAGTGGAGGGGGGGACGTAGGTCGCTTATTCCTTAAAGCTCGTCTCCTGGGTTGCGAGCGCCCCCGGAGCCAGAGCAGGGGGTCCCACATGTGCAGAGTTACCTCGAGTATAGCAAGGAGAGTGGGGAAGCTCGAGCTGAGGACGTGCTCACCGTGGAGAATTGCTTTCAAGGTGCAGTTCCATCAACCTTCAGGAGGAAATTGGGGGAAATGTCGGGAGGTAAAGGAAGGAACCCTGTCTGCCATGCATTGTGAACGTGGGCCCCGGGCGGAGGGCCAGGAGCCACACCGCCTTTCCGCCTTCAGCTCTCCGGGCTTACAGGGCGGAAAAGCCTCGGAGGCTCGGGATTGGGGTTGCATCGCCTTCAGGATCTGACCCCTTGCCCCTCTCCCCTACGCCAGGAGCTTCTGCTCCATGCCTTTGAACCCCGAAGCTCCTCCCGCTGCAACAGCGTGTCTGCTAGTTCATTCGGAGACGACAGGGTCCTCGCCGAGGCTCCAGGGCTGCTGCTCTAGTGGCTGGAACGGGGCTGTCACTGTGCTTGTCTGGGACTTGGGGGATTCAGAACCACTTGCTCTTTCCCGTCTGGTTTGTCAGCTTGTAGTCCAGAGAGAGCATGCCACGTTAGGCTCTTGTGAACTCTCCGGGCTTTTACAATGATCTTTCCTCTGGGTTTTGCCTCTCAGTCCCTCCTTCCAACACCAGCTGGCGCAATTCTGCAAGCTGACCTCGGCAGCCCTCCGGGCGCATGGAGCATTTGCTTTCGTCTTTGCATGATTTCTGATCATTGCAACGTCTTCAGAGTATGCGTTCCAGAGTAGGACTTCCCAGACTTTCAAACCCAGGCCCCCTCTGTAAGCATGAAAAAGCCAGGCCCTTCTGTAATATGACTAGAAATGAAAAGCTAACCCTCGTGACTAGGAACGACATGTCGTGGCGAGGAAAAGCACCGCCTTCCGAGTACGAAGGGGTTGCATTCACCGTTGGCTGAGTGAATGAAGTACGGTTGGAATTCTGGGGCTGTTGGTACAGCATCTCTGGGTGAGATGCTGGGACGCGCTCGTATCTCTCAGTCCTCTGACGTTGATCCAGGGAACGAGGGCGGGCTCTCGGGCATGGAGGATGTG